ATCCCTGTGCTTAAACCAAATAAACCTCCTAGTTCGGGAGACGCTTACTTAAGTTTGGTAAGGAATGAAGCCAAGAAAATGCCTGATATCATAATGGCAAAACACCCCATAAAGCGAGTACCAATCAATAACAATTCGAATGTCAAGATGGCGGCTTGGGTAAGGACTGGCTGGGCAAATTTAGAAAATGATGACAATGACGACGACGACAATGGACAACAAGATAACAAAGTGAATAATAGTGTAGTAAATAAAGAATGGGAGGAAAGATTTTTATTTAGATTTGAAAAATTAAGAAAGGTTTCCCTTTATGTTTTTTGTTTTATTTATTTTTTTATTTGATGGTGTTATTAATTTATTTGCTAAAATTAAAATCATCTAGTTTTTCAAATATTTTTTAAGGATTTAGAAGAATTTAAAATGTCTAATGATATATCAGGTGTAAAAAAACTACCAAAGCGTCAAGATGAACCTGGTTGGTTTAAATTTTGTTATGGCGAGCAAGAAAAAACAAATGAACTGGAGGAAATTAAAATGATATGTTCGCCTAGCTTAAGCATTATAAAAAGATTAGATCAGGTAATTATGCACAATCAAAATTCGTATCTTGTGAAAATTTTTCGCTGATTGCTTTGAATCCAATTCATCTATTTATTAATTATAGGCAACTACATATTCAGTCCTTTCATATCATATCAAATGGTTAAAAGATGATGATATTACAGTCAGACAATCTCAATGGATGTTTGCGCTTTTATTACATCTTGATAAATTATTAACTGCGGGACAAATAAGTAATTTGCGAGTACTATGCAAAAAATGTATTGAAATTCGTGGAAATCTGGTGGTAATTTATAAAATTTGGTTTTTGTAAAACTTTTTCCCAAATTTTTAAAATTGTGATTCTTTATTTTTTATTTTTTATTTTTTATTAGGTTGAAAAGAACGATCAAAAAATCGCAATGTTAAATATAATAATCACAATTGTAAAAAGGTATTTTGGTCAGCAAGATCTTGGCTAGATTTCATTTTATATTTAATTTACATGGAATTAAGGATCAAAATTTTACCAAAATTATGTGTTATTATTTTAATTAAACAAATAAATAAAATAAAATTACAAAAAA